ATCAATCTTGATTTTCAGTTCATTTTTTTCTGAATTTCTTCTTCCTTGTCTGCAGTCTGCTCCAAACCACACGCTTTTACTGACAGAATATTGGCTGTAGACCTTTCTATTAAAAAGACTCAAGATGATTATTGACCTGTTTGAATGTACTGTCAAGTGGATAGAAGCTTCCCCATACTTATATTTGTACACTGGATTTTTCTTTCAATTTCAAAGTTGGCTCACCAAAAGGGTTTCGTGCTGCCCTGTTTTTGTTTATGTAAAAGGTTAAAATTAAAAGTAGTGGAAAATACAAATGACTTCTAACTACTGTTTATTCCTGTGTTCTTGCAGCCCTCCCGTCTCTGCCATGACTGAGCCTTATTCACTTCTCAGCGGACCGTGAAAATTCGACTAATTAGCATTTTCAACCTCGCAAAACTCCCAAAATGTAGCTTCATTTTCACTTCTTACGGAAAGAAGACAGTTTACATGAAAGGACATAATTACAACTGATTATTCCCTGGATACAGAAAAAACAATAGCATCACTAATGTTTAAAACTGTGTATTATTATTATTATTAGTAGTAGTAGTAGTAGTAGTAGTAGTAGTAGTAGTAGTAGTAGTAGTTTTAGTTTTAGTTTTAGTATTATTTTATTATTATTATTTGGCTTAATATTTTGTTTTGAAAAATGCACTCGTGAAATTTCTACTGTCACTGCTGCAATAACTACTACTATTACTACTATTACTACTACTACTCCTACTACAGCTACTACTATTACTTCTACTACTACTACTAAAACTACTAATAATAATACTAATACTAATACTAATACTAATACTACTACTACTACTACTACTACTACTGCTACTACTACTACTACTACTACTACTACTGCTACTACAGTACTACACTGCTACTACTACTGCTATTTCAACTACTACTACTACTACTACCACTATGAGGTACCATGATATGTTGTTCCTATTCACCTCAGTTACTCTCTGAAAATGTGTATAATTTGCTAACATTTAAATTTAATGTTGCATAATTGTTTGGTTTCACTTAAAAATAAATCAGACGTTTCAAATGAAACTTATTCAAAGTAACACGGTCTGGAAAATATATTAATAGTGGCATGGTAATGATTTTGAAAATGCTTTTGATCCCTAGTAGTAGTTTGAAGGCTTTAAAAAACTCCAAATTATAGTGACTTACTCCAGGCCTATCTTCAATTGCTTCTATGTAAGAGTTATGCTCATTTATGGCTTAAATCATGGGGCTTTTAGGATTTTAAATGGTCCATAACTATAAGTACAGCCTCTTGGTGGTCTGTCCTCCAGCTCGTATTTTACTACCGTCTCTCCGCCCCCACTTCTTCTTCTGCACGCGGTCAGGACGTCACTCAAACCCCAATGAGAGCAGCCATTCACTCGGGACTGCATGGGTGTGTACGGGACAGGGCTAGAGGCGGGGCAGGTGGCGTAGGGGGCGGAACTGGTGTGGTGGGGGTTACTACGCGACTGCACAAAGCAAAATGCACACACAGCCATAATATTTACTCTGGGAGGATTTTCCACCTTCACCTCCAGCCTAGAGTAGAGAAGAGGAGAGATGAATGATACTACTACTACTATACTACTAGTACTACTAAGACTACTACTACAGCTATTGCTTCTTGTCACGATTTTGCTTAAAAGTCTTGAAAATGGACCAAAGCACTGTTGTACATGTTACCTGCTACACACAAACAATGTAGTATATGTGCCTGTTCTCAGCATCGTACTTAAAATACATATGCAAAATATTCCTGAAGTTGAACGCAAGTTGAACATAAGGTGAATGTAATGTTTAAAGGTGAACTATGTAACTTTTCTGGTAGAGGGTCAATTACTTGCTTATTTCTGAGCAGGTGTCATTTAGTTTACTGGAATGTTCCACACTGTGGCATTAAACCTATTAGCCTGAATCATCTGACCTACCAGCATTAGGATTTGTTCGCTCGACGGTAGGCGGGTACTTTTTTATTTAATTAATCACTGCTATTTGGTCGTGACGTATGTAATGTGCCAAACCCCGTAGGAAGAAGGGCAATAACATCTTGATAAAATTCACTAAACATTTTTTTGTTCCAGCTTTAAATCCTCGATCTCGGAAATTGTTGCCAACACAGAATGTATGGCTTCATCTACATCCATCTCTACCACTTGACTTACTGTTGTGCTGTACCACAAAAGGGACCCAGACAGGCGCGTCACAGCTCTTCACTGATTGGCCAGTGCGTGGTCTACAACTTCTGGGGTTCTTGCAAATCATCTAGTGTAGTCCAAATCCTGACCTAGTCACTGGAGAGAAATTAAATTGAGCAGAGGCACTAGGTGTACATATTTAAACATTAAACATATTTAATAAAAGTTTAATGCCATATTCCATGCAAACATTCCAAGCAAAGTAAAAACATGGTGGCAGACCCCTCACCTGAAAAGTTACATATTGGGCCTTTAAGTTGTAAATATGAAAACTGCTTACAGATCATTTAATGAGATCTTAATGCACAACTTTTACACATTAAGACATAATTTCATCCATTAATCATATACATTTTAAACGTCCTGCTTCACTCTATCTGAACTGTTGGTGTCTCATTTACATCCATAGGCCTTTTCTCCAAGCAGCTTACAGCACTATATTACAATTCAGATCTGTGGAGAGTCACCCCTGTTCACAGAAGGAATTAAATGTATTTGAGGAAAAGAAGCACCCGTAATGAATAAATGCTAGCTGGATACATGAGATGTCATACCATGGAACATTCGGCAAAGCTATAACATCTCCATGGAGACAAGCAGGTGCGGACCCTCCACGAGAAAAGTTCTGCAGGGCACCTTTAACATGAGTGATTTTACTGCATAGCCTACTAGCATTTTGGTGCAGAAATACTAAAAAGTTACTTGGAAAGAGTAAAAAAAGAAGCCCCACAGTAGAATCCCCCACTCTGAGCAGACACAGCCGCAGTTGTGTCTCTGGCTCGAGTGAAACAGCCCTGAACTTGAGTGGACCCGGTCAGAGCCACCACAGAACTGACGTCAACAACAAGAGGCTTTTCATGCGCTCACCTGCATCGGAAAAATGTGCAGAGAGCGCCCGGTGTTTGTACAACCCCTTCACCCCAGAGCTCAGGACAGACCAGAGCCAGACAGAAGGCTATATGGCCATAAAGGACCTATGCATATGAATGAGACACCAGTGGTTTAGATAAAGTCATGGGGGGGAGTTTAAAATGTATAATAAATGAAATTATGAGGTACTTTCCTGTTTTCTTGTTTCTGTGGATATGTCATTGCTCTGCCTGGAGTGTTCCACAGTATGACATTAAACAGCTCTAACCTTACATTTGTTCAATTACAGGTGGTTTTATAGCTCAAAAATACCTACAAAAACAGGTATTCTGACTGTGAGCAGGGTTGCCTCTCCACAGATCTGGCCTGTAACTTTGGTCTGGTTTGGTGTCCGTGAAGTTATAGATTTAATACCATACTGTGAAAAATTCCAGACAAAGCAATAACATCTCAGTGAAGACAATCATTTGATGGACCCTCCACCAGAAAAGTTACACAATGCACCTTTAAATAAGTTCTATGGAGAAAGCTTTTGGAAATATTTGTGTGCATAGGATAGAAATCAGTGCATATTTGGCTGTAGTTGAGCATAAAATAAATATCCGTAAACTCTCGAATGAGTCCAGTCTTACATAAAATGTATTGTCTGTTATGACATCAAGAATTACAACCGAAATGAATTCAGTATGAATACGAATTCACAGACACGACTCGGCTGTCAACCATCAACGAACTTTTGTACCTCATACGGACTGAACCAGGACTGAACTAGGTCTAAACCAAGACAAAACCAGGACTCCACCAAGTCTAAACCAAGACTAAACCAGGACTAAACCAGGACTGAACCAGGACTAAATCAGAAACAAACCAGAACTAAACCAGAACTGAATCAGGACTAAATCATGTGTAAACTAGTTCTAAACCAGGGCTCAAACTTCATAACGTTCACATTCTCCATTTGTGTCAGTGTACAGAAATGTAACAAAACCAATGGAAAAAAGAACACTCGATCTTTACATGAAGCTTGATAATACCACAGCACATTACAGAAAAAAAAAAACATCATTATGTGCATATTAGTATAACATTGTTTCCTCTTGTTTCAGTGCATAATTAACTATAGCTATGTCTTCGTCGTGTCTCTGTGTGCAGCCTGTAACACCACGCACTAATGATCCTAATGATAAAACATCATACAATCTCTCAGGGCTTTGGTTTTACAGTGTCTAGAGACCAGAGCGTCACTGATGGGTTTTTAATAGTTTTCAGACGTGGCTCTAGATTATACAGCATATGTGGTACTTTTAAATATGTAATTTCAGAGGTATACAAAGGGATAGGAGGGCCACTAGACTAAACTATACTGAAAGGGTTTTATAATCAAGGCTTTGAACTGAGGGGAGATTTTACAGTGTAACAGAAAGACAAATAGTACACGTATATGCTTTAAGATAAGAAGAAATTGGCCATAAATACACAAAATTAAACATATAAACGAGGAAAAAGAATGTTATAATAAAGGTAGAACTGTTGCCTTGGCAGAGGACTATCTCCAAATAGACTTAGAATGGATGAATGAACGTTTTGACTGATTCATGGTTGGAAAATAGTGTGGAATTTTGTGACTCATCCATGGGTCCAGAATGATGGAAAATTAAGATCGTTGCCATAATGATTAGTAATTTAAAGCAAAATATTTTATCTTTTGAATGGGGAAAAGTCCTTAAAATGTTGTATATGACGAGAAGATGAATCCAGGCACAGGATTTTCTAGCTTTTCAACAGTTAATACAAATGCATATATTTTGCCATTATATTTTCCTTTTTCACTGTTATGCTATTTATGTAATGATGAACTAGGACTTACCCTGCTTGTCTCTGCTTTGTCCCATGCAGCTGAGACACCAACAGTGGAGTCTGGTGATGGAGAGTGCAGTCCCTTCAGACCGGGGGAACTACACCTGTGTGGTACAGAACAAATACGGCACCATCACACACACCTACCAGCTCGACGTACTCGGTAAGCTCACCAACAACTTCCACCAAATTTTTACTGTCTATAAAGGTAAAACAAAAAACATGTTCATTTTTAACTGTTAGCTGGAGTCCAATCATGTTCATATTTCCTAATGCATTCATAGTATGAATTATTCACCATGATGAGTTCATAAGTCAGTTTCACAACTATCAGAGGCCAGAGAGCAGTTTTGTCCTAAGGCTACTGCTGACAACAATTAGCGAGCTACCAGCACACTGGCATTACTTCTGAGTTCATGGACTTAAAAAAGGGTTTATAGTTAGATTACGACAGCACACAGCAATCTCACCTTGCATCCTTAACTGCTTTACTGGGGCAAGACAAATTTTACTATTTATTGCAATTCAAGTCTTGCAAGTCCAATGAAGAGCTTGAAATGGTACAAAGGTAAGAACTGAACAGACAGAGGTTAAAAAAAGAGAAAAGATAACACAAGTCCAAAACTACTGCAGGTAAAAAGAACAAGATAGTGAGCTTGAAAACATGGAGTGTCCAGCACAGTCACCAGACTTAAACCCCACTGAGCTGCTTTGGGATGAACTGGACAGAAGAAGTGTCACACATTTATGGGAACACGTTTTGGTCAATAGTAAACAGTAAACTGGAAAAAAAAAAAAAAAATGTTAAAAGTGTGGTGTTCTAAAACTTTTGACCTTTAGTATAGTTTCCTATGATTTCTAAAACTTGAAATTTTAGTGTTGCTTAACATTTGGTATTAAAGTCCAAAATTATAATATTGCCAATTTTGAAACATCCCCTTTTTATACACTGTACTAATTCAACTTTGCATAACCCATGATAACCTCCTGTATTTTTCCATGTTCCAGAGCGATCCCCTCACAGGCCCATCCTTCAGGCTGGACTCCCGGCCAATCAGACGGTGGCAGTGGGCAGTGACGTGGAGTTTCACTGTAAAGTGTACAGCGACGCCCAGCCGCACATCCAGTGGCTCAAACACATCGAGGTCAACGGGAGCCGCTACGCTCCTGACGGGGCGCCATACGTCAACATACTCAAAGTAAGTGTCTAGAGCCATGAGAAATGTACCATCAGAAACATGGTCTGATATAGAAACTGTCACCTAAGTAGTACAATATGCTGGTCATAATAAGCCAGAAAAGAATGATTTTCTTTAACAAACAAGTGGGTCTGGGTGATGACTTAAGATAATATAAAGATGTATGTAACAAATGTTACAGTATTTATTTTTATTTTACTTTGAAAAAAATGACTACAGCTGCTAGATTTTCATCTTAAAGGTGCACTACGTAACTTTGCAGCCTGATCGTCTCCATTTAGATTCCATGTTCCACAGTTTGGCATTAAACTTCTTTATACAGCATTTATTTCATTATGTGTGTTCTTACTGCTCAAAGATACCTTGAAAAACATACATTCTTACTATGGATTGAGTTCGCCTCTCCACAGATTTGACCTGTATGGCTTATTATGTAATCTGCTTGTCTCCAACTTTAATGCCGTACAGTGAAACAATCCAGGAAAGGAATCAAACCCTTCACCAAAAAAGTTACACAGTGCACCTTCCCACTCTTCACTTCCTAAATTCCTACTTAAAATTGTGTTTAGTTTTGTTTTGGTCCATTGAGTAATGTACTTGAAACAACTTAAGCATCAGGAAATAGACCGCTGCATGCCTTAGTGCCTTTCCCAATACGGCAGCAGTCCCTCCCCGCCCAGCTGTTCTTTTATTTTGGTCTAAAAAGAGGACAACTCCAAGCCTTATGATTTTCAGAGGAGAGAACGAGGACTATACAACATCTGGTTTGGGCTAAGTTAAGTGCTGCGGTGGCGACGTCGCTGTTAGATGTTGCTGCGTTTTCAAAAAGACGAGACGAAGGCGGAGGATTTGAAAAAAAGAAAAAGTTACGGAAAAAATGAGTTTGGGAGCAACAGAAGGGCAGAGTCAGCAGTGAGGGAGACGTGTGACAGGCTGCTGGGTACGGAGACAAAGAAGGAGGGCCAGACTGCGTGGATGTAATTGGGAACATATCAATAATAATTAGACAGGCCCAAAGAATACCAGAGAACCACAACTGAGCTCAGTGCAGGCTAATGGCATCCAGACTAAAGAGATATCAGGCGCTAATTTTATGTCCAGCTGTAAATCTTTATGGTATAGTTAAAGGTTTCATTTAAGATCAGTCATGCCTATTTTTAAGTATTAAACAACATTAGATTTAGACAAACTTTATTAAACTGTTGTAGGAAATTATTTGAACAAAGTAACTCACACATCACAATATATTGTAATAACAAAGGGCAAAAATATAAAAGTAAAAAAAATAAATAAATAATTAAAATACTATTATAATATATTTGTATGTAGTTCTCAAATTAATTCAAATCTAAAAACAAAATTGATAGCTTGCTAGTATGTCTAGGGCCAGAGGTGGGACCAAGTCTTTGTTTTACAAGTCTCAAGTAAGTCTCAAGTCTTTCCTCAAGTCCGAGTCAAGTCCCAAGTCAAATACAGGCAAGTCCAAGTCAAGTCCAAGTCGTCTGCTTTGAGCTTCAAGTCATTTCAAGTCTTTAAACCAAAGTACCAAATATATCTTAGATTTTTGCAATTTATATGATTTTTAAGATAAATTGTACTTAAAAAATTACAGTATATTTATATATGAGAATTTATACAACTCGTATATACTCGTATATAAACAAATTTAGTTATTTTTTCATTTTTAAATGTTTTGACAAAATCAAAATCTCTTTAGAATAGAAAGAATTCAGATTTAAAAGTGCTTCTCAAGTTTTATCAAGTCACAGGCCTCAGGTCCGAGTCAAGTCCCAAGTCACTGACTTTCAAATCCAAGTCGAGTCCCAAGTCTTAGTCCATTTTATCAAGTCAAATCTCAAGTCCTAAAAATAGTGACTCAAGTCTTACTCGAGTTCACGTCACAACTTGCGAGTCCCCACCTCTGTCTAGGACAATATTCTAAATGCTCTTATAAAAAATGCTCTATATTCTGAATAAACTAAAAGTCAAATTACATTGCCTTTTGTTTCAATATAGAATTATGTAAAGGAGTAGTACTAAGATCCAACCATAGTCTCATATTTGCATTGTATATTCAAAATCGAACATCACAATTATTCATGCCTATATTGCATGTTTATCCTGCCAAACCCGGCTAATAACACGGGTGATTGAAAACAGCATGGCGCTGGCCCTTTAAATGTCTTAGTGGAAAAGTGTGTTTAAGCAGAGTTTTCCAACCCCAGACTGACAGCACATTTACATAAAGGGGTGTGAAACAGTGTAAGATATAGAAAGAAGAGAGGGAAAGAGTGAAGAAGAGAGAAAAGACAGAAAGAAAGAAAAGAGAAAGAGGGGGAGAGAGGGAGGAGGAGGAGGCAGACCGCGACTCCATGCTCTATTTTCATCCACCGCATAATTGAAACAGTATTTACCCAGATCTGCCCCACACGTCTCAGTCTGCCGCTGTGTGACATCTCATGTGTGGTACAGGCAGTTAGAGGGAGAGGGGGAGAAGGAGGAGGAGAGAGAGGGAGGAAGAGAGGGAGGAGAAGAGAGTGCTTTGGCCTGGACTAGTTGTTTGAAGTTGGGTTATTGTAAGGAGCAAAGGAGGCGTCTGGATGTCAGCCCTGGATCTTCATTAACTCTCTGATATTCTATTCTTTCTTCTTATTTGAACTTTCTCCATGTTTTGACACTCACTGTTATTCTTTTAATGTGTCTTTTTGTCACACAGGATGGACTATGCAATGTTTTATCATGTATTTAATCTGTGAATGTGTACACCAAAATTAATCTGCACTGTCTTTTCAATTGTGTCATTTTTGTTTTATTATAATTGCAAAAAAGAAAAAAAAAATCCAATTGTAATCATGCAGTCTGAAAACCATATTGTAAATGTTTAAATTTATATGAAGTTATATTTAATTTGTGTTCATTTGACTCTCCCTTTCACAGAGTTTTGTGAGTAAACACACTGAGATCCATGATAAGTTCAAAATCTACAATGTCACAGAGAAAGACGCTGGGAAATACTGGTGTCGAGCGTCCAACTTTGTAGGCAAATCAGAGAGGCCCTTCTGGCTTAAGATTCACAAACCAGGTAAAGAATCAAACTAGAGGCAAAACGGCTGCCGTCTTGGGGCTCTGCTTGGTGTGTTCCTGTCTCCTGCCTCTGCTTGGTTGTGGGTTGATCTACTGGTAAACGCATATTTCTTTGCTAATTCGCCAATCAGCATTATTTATTTCTTATGTGGATGTGATAAATTAAAAGTCGGTGTATATAAAACAGAATTTAAAAAAAAATGTTGGACAAAAGTGAAATTTAGCCATAGACCTTTTTCACAACAGACAGAAGTGCCGCAATGTAGGTAAACGTCACTTACGTTAATGTTTTTCTATGGCAAAATATCTGTTGAAATGTCTCACGTATTTTCCACCACCTTCATAAATCTGCCCCATCACAAAATCTTCATCCAACAAGGTCGACTAAGAAAATATTCTGTCCATGAAGAATTTATCCAAAGCTATCAAGGTAAGAAAGACAAAAACGTAAATGCTAACAACGACTAGCATCAGTCAACTACTCCTGAACAAAACAAACATTATAGTCATGAATAAAACAGAAATAACTTGTGAACTCATACTGATTCTACAATTAAAATAAAAATTTGATTTTATGATGTAGATATTAGCATAGACTGAGAAATTTGTGCAGGTTGAATGTGAGACATGTAATCTGTGAACCTCTGTAGCATTTGACCTGCACAAAGCTCTCTGTCTGTGTTGATAACTACATCATGAAATCGATTTTTTATTTTAATTGTAGAATCAATCTGAGTTCACAACTTACTTATTAATGAATTTATGTTTTATTCATGACCATAATGTTAGTTTTGCTCAGTAGTTCACTAATGCTAGTCATTGTTAACCTTTAGGTTTTCATCTTTCTTATCTTGAGAGTTGTGGATAAATTGTTCATGGATAGAATATGTCTTTTGTTGACCTTGTCAGATGAACATTTGGTGATGAGACAGATGGTGGAAAATACATGAGACATTTCCACAGATATTTCACCAAAGAAAAGCATTAATTGGAAGTCCTGCAAGCCTACAGCGGGGCACTTCCAGCCATTGTGAAAAAGCTCTGTTATTATCATTATATAAGAACATATGCTTAAGGCAATTGATAGCTTTGTAATGAAAAAATACCACCTTTACCATAGCAAATAACAATTCAAAACAAATAATTATGTCTTTTGAATGAAGAAAAGTATACACTTGTTATGATAATTATAATATGAACATATTGTTCAATGTATGAAAGCTGCAGTGATATATTTTTAGACTCAATATTTGCATTGAGTTCATTTTCCTTGCACTAGTGAGGATATTTTTTATTTAATTACGTAAGATTTAAGATGTAGAGGGTAGAATAAATAAGTTTTATGCCTAATTGTGACTTAATTCTGCCATTTATCTGTTGCATCTCAGCCCTTTTAATGATACTTTCTATTTTAAAAACGGGTTTACAGGATTATCCTCATTTGTGACAGTGGCATAATGTAGTCTCAAAATGTGTTATCGTCACCGGCCTAGAAAAGTACTCAAAATGGCGCCTATAAACAGCTGAACAGAAGGCTTATAGACTCAAAGTCAGTGAACAAGAAATACCAACATGAAAAATAACCATTGTACTTTGTAGATCCCATTACGCTGCAGTATATCTGATTTTGCCCTCCAATAATCAATAGAACTGCACTATTTTACCCTTAATTAGACTCAGGTCAAAAGAAACACCCACCAATTTGTACAACACAGAGTCATATCGATTTCTTTCGGTCAGCAGTAGTTTTAGCAAGTCCTTATATGACTCTTGGAGCTGTAATAAGGCATGGGAAGTGGTCTCAACACAACCCCCACTGAACAAGAGGCAGAAATCAACTATGAATCAATACAAGGTCAATGGACAAACCCTCTTCAAGAATCGATCATTTCTACCATCTTTTACAGTTACACAAATAATCTGACAAATATTTATATTGTAAAGTCAATACATTACAAACAATTCTGTCATACAAAATCTTATGAAATAGGATTAGTATTAAAGGTGAACTATATAACTTTTTGGTTGGAGGTCTTTCACCTGCTTGTTTCTATGAATATGTCATTGCTCTGCCTGGAATGTTCCACAGTATGACATTAAACAGCTCTAGTTTACATTTATTCAATTACAGGTGGTTTTATAGCTCAAAAAAACAGTTCGAAAAACAAGCATTCTTAGGCTACATTTATTTGAAGATGGTCTGAACAGAAGACGCAAAAGTGGCATCACATTTTCACTTTTTATCCCGCGTTTAGATGAGTGTTTTCGGGAGGAAATTTGCATGCATACTGTGACATAAAAGTGTGCTCATATCACGCGTACGTGATATGAGCAGATCTGACCAGAGTTTTGCATCTTGGGCAGTGTAGACAGAACCGCTATGGCGGAGCATATTCAGTTTTTCCACTCTGGAGGGTGGTTTCAGATTTTTGCGTTTTTAAGACCTAAAAACCTAAATAGGCCCTTACTGTGAGTGGGGTCGCCTCCCCACAGATCTGGCCTGTAACTTGGTTTGGTTTGGTCTCCATGAAAATAGAAAGGTTTAATATCATACTGTGAAACATTCCAGACAAAGCAATAACATCACTATGGAGAAAAGCATTTGTCAGACCCTCCACCAGAAAAGTTACATAATGTACCTTTAAATATATATTGGCCTAAGCTTTCTAAAAATGAACCAGAAGTCTCCCTAAGGTAACACTGCGCCGAGATCTTCACAAAATACATCCCCCAAATTATTTATTTCTAATCCTTGCAGCTTGTGAAGATGCAGCTTTGATCTCGGTGTGTTCTAAAATCCAAATGTTAAATGAGTTAATATTTCAGATGGTCTTTTGATGTCTTTATTCACTTTATGGCATGTAAAGTGATTGGATATGTGGTCCGGTTTAATTCATCACCTTTGATTTCTGCTGCCAGCCACGATCAAGGCTGTGGAGAAGGGCTTAGATTTTCCAATAGGTAAACTATTTATCAGCTCAGTTTGAACCACCACACACTGCTGTCGCTTTTATTATTTTTCTTCCATTAAATGTGTCCTTGCTGTGTCCTGCTTTATATTGTGTCCTATATGTTATTGAGTAGGTGCATAATTGATACTTTGCAGCACTCTAAACATTCCACCAATAGAGATGTAGGCGTTACCATGGTGACACAAAATGGATTTAAAAAGCACATTTTTCAGGAGCCTGCGATCAATACGAGCATTCATGGTTTTGTTTAGGTATTTTCAACAAAAAGGTAATGAGGGACTAATTGAAAAGCTGTTGGCTAATGCTGACTAACTTGAGACAGTTCTTTAGGATCAAATTTTGGTAAAACAAAAGTTAGATTAATAGTCTAATTAAGTCAAATCTGAGTAACAGAGCTTCAAACAGAGCAGTGCCTACTGTAAGCAGGGAATGTCGATGACCTCAGCTGCAAAGTATTTATAGAATATGTGTATTCACTGTGGCAGAGTGGTTAGCCCGCCCAAGGACTTCACTTTTCTCTTTTTTTTTAGATTATCTATAACTGTCGCTATAGTGATTAACAATTTAAAACAAAATAATAAATGTTTCAAAGGGGAAAAGTCCTAAATATTGCACATAATAGTAAATCAAAATAAACATGAACAGAGAAAAGAATAATATTTAAGAGAGTGGTTGTTTATCAGTGTGTGCTTCTGCCAAAATGATCTGTCACTATCCACCCAAAAATGTCCCAAATTATCAATTTTTGTTCTCATCCGAAAAAAAAAAAAAATCCCATTTCATTTCCCGTAACTTTTTGAATTTAAAGCACTGTAAACGTGGTTTCAAACTGAGCTGGTCAATTTCATTTTTTGCAGCAGGTGGAGGTGCTGCTTGCTTGGTGTTTCCAGGTGGATGACAACAATCTAACTTCAATTCTCCTCTCCCCTCTCACACAATCCATCTTTTAAAATTGATTTATTTGGTGTTGGGCTCACCATTTCTCCCTCTTCTTCTTCCTCCTGTTTCTCCTCCTCTTTTTCCTCCTCCCTCTCTCCTACAGACTGCGGGCATTAACACTACAGATAAGGAGCTAGAGGTGCTGTTCTTGACCAATGTCACTTTTGAGGATGCTGGGGAGTACACTTGCCTGGCGGGGAACTCTATTGGGTTTACTCACCACTCTGCTTGGCTCACGGTGTTGCCAGGTATAAGACTTTCTCTACCACATTTCCTCTCGTTTATAATATGCACTTATGAGTTATTATTATGTATCAGTTATTATACAGATTAGCTCTTGTATTTGATCATCATGTCTCACAAAATTAAAATAGACTTTTTTTTGTATTTTATGTTAAGTATTAATGGATTAACTCAACATTTAAAATAGGTTCAAATAAAAGAATCACCTAGAAAAAGATCATGTAGTATCTTTATTTTAAGTCAGTATTTCATTTTGAGTGCAATAACAAATTTAGATTGGATAGAATTTCCAATTCGCCTTTTACAAACCCATTTGAATTGGATTGTGTTGACTTGCGGTGCTTGAGCTTTCTCAGCCACCATAGTCACATGTAGGTTGGTGTTACAAAGCCATAAAGACATGATTGCCACTATTATTGTTTCGTAAAAAGGTGTTTTACTCAGTATCATTTTCATAGCTGCATAATTACACTCTTTACAGCTCATTAAGAACAATGTAAGAGTATAATGTTGCCGTTATAATTGCTTGAACACGTAGCCGAGTGTCTGTTTGATCAGGCTGGTGGTGCGTTCACATGTCTCTGGGCTAAATGGTAATTTCAAAGACTTGTTTAGCTCATAATGACTTCCCTGAGGAGAGAGCACTCGCAGGTGAAAATACCTGCCATGGGTTCAGAAGGCATACCAGGGTTACTTCAGTCTCTCTTAAAAGAAGAAAAAAAAACATCAGCAAATTTCACTTAAGCATGTTCGGATATGCTTCTTCTCTCTGATACTGAGTAAAATGTTTTTATCTTGATTCTATTCCAGTAATTCTTTTTAGAAAATAATGACATTCTATTTGCTCAAAGGTCCTATATTGCATACTGCATTGAGTCTTTTGAGCCAAATTATGTCCTTACCTTATCAAAAACATACCCAGGATGCTTAGGATACTTAGGATTCAGCTACTACTACTACTACTACTGATACTAGTAGTACTAAGTAGACATACTTTCAGTCCCAAGGTCCATGCATTAAATCTAGATTGTGGAAGGTAACTGTGGCTTTCTTAGTAAATAGTTTGTAGCTTAGTAATTGTATTTGCTTTGATCTGCATGTATCTTATTTATGTTCACTCTTTAGCAGTGAGTGAGGAGAAGGACGACTACTACGCCGACATCCTGATCTATGTGACGGGCTGTGTGCTCGTCATCCTCACCGTCATCATCGTGGTTCTGTGCCGGATGAGGATGACCACCCAGAAGACCCTGCCCACTCCCCCTGTTCAAAAACTCTCCAAGTTCCCCCTCAAGAGACAGGTAACAGAAAGTAGATACAAGATTAGCACAAACTTACCTATTCTCTCTCACTGTCTGTCCACTACCTATACTCTCCAAGACAAAATCAAGCAGCAGTTTAACCCTAAACCTTAATTAGGATGAAAGATCATTTTCAATTGTCCAGTAATGGTTTTTGACATCTTATTGGTTGCTTTAATAGTCACAATCAAAGTGCTTTAAGTCCTCCTTCTTACTGAGTTCATTCTGATTTGTCGATGTTTGTGATAATTAGCATGATAATAACCTCAGAGAGAGATAGGTTTGTTAAGATGTGTTTGCTCTTCCCCAGTTGCTATATCATACACGGGACCAGGCCTGTCAACCATGGCAAGACACTTCATATGGGCCCCCTCTATATTATAAATGAATAGATAGGAAAAGGATTAAATTCTGGACGCTTAAGACCCTGGGGCCCGGGACAACCGACCCCTTTGTCCTCCCCTGTCGACTCCCCTGATTGGGACTGAATCTGGGCTGGACTAGATTAAACCAGGACTAGAACAAGATAAATCATAACTGGGTTCAAAACAGGTCCAAACCAAGGCCAAGACATTGTCACTATTTACACATATATTTATCCCAAGTAACACAAAAGGAGCCACGTAAAATATATTTGCATACATTTGTATTCACTTGATTTGTAACAGACAATAACATCCACTTTATATTTGCGTTGATTCATTGTTTTTGTACAATATTAAATGAATAAATAAAAAAACTATGAGATCTAAAAGTGAAATATCAGCCCAGTTTTGGCACTCAGAAGGGGCCCACATCTTCTCTGGATCCCCGTAAAACTCTGCTGGTCTAAAACTGCTTTAGAATGACACAGAATCAGACCTACTACATGTGAACAGTAGAGGGGCAGAGAGTGAAATCTCATCCCCAGCTCTGACACTCAGAGGGGGGCATAAATATCTCAGATCCCCCTGAAATTGCTCCAGGATGGATGCCAGCACATGTCACCATCTCAGAGGTTTCCAGTGCTCCGTGTGCGTCACCTCCAAACCTCACACACTCTTTATTTGTCTGCAGTTTCTCCACCAGCGTGAGAACCGCCTTTGAACTACAATTCAAGATGATACAAAACGTGCCATCGTTTTTTTCTTTCTTTCTTTTTCACACACAGGCATAAATGACGAAACATTTTTCCAAAGCTGTGTGTGTCTGAAGAAGTCACTGACAGTTTTTGCTGGCATTTTGAGTTTTGACATTTGAATAGACTTTTTTTAATAGTTTCCTCAATGGTATTTGATGACACTTTTTCAGTTCACATTTTCACAATTATAGTACTGTACGCATAACAATAAAGAGCGTACGCAGTCTATTTATCCTACCCATAATGCTTTGCTCTGGTGGCCTCCCACTGTTAGCAGTTGCTATGTGGTTACTAAATTTGCGCTCCAACTTTCCAGGACTGAAATTAAAGGCTTCATATTTCTGAAAGTAGCATTTTTAGACTAAAGCTTCTCATTGAAAACCATGATTTACTCTATTTTAGTGAGTTATATTGCTTTTTTCTCAACATCGATCTTGTGTTATGACCAATATTGTGAACCTCAAGTGTACTACTGTCTCAGAAAATACGCCTTCCACGATGAAATGTGGACTTTTCTAAAGAATAAAGGACAAGTAAGGAATAAAGCAGGATTAAATAGGATTAACTCTGATTAGCCTATGCCCAGAACTAAAACTGGTTTTATAGGACTAATTTAGGACTTAACATGGACTTAAAATTAAAGCCTCAATATGTAAAATTTAGCCAAAAAGCAGACTAAAATAAAAGAATGTTTTTAATTTAGTTTTTTGATGTTCTTATTGCACTTGAAAAACATGTCCATATGCTTGGGGGTATGGGGAAATACTTATAAATAAAATATTAATAAAATGTTTCTATTCCAAAAGAAGGTTATTAGGATTATTAATCATGCTAATTATTATGCACCAACAAATCCTCTTTTTGTTAAGCTAAAAGTACTTACATTTTTTTGATCTTGTTGACCTGAGCACAGCTGTAGTGATATACAAAGCCTATAATCTGCTTCCTCCTTGTTTACAGGCGTTATTTGAGCAGAGAGAGTCAGTATAACCTTAGAGAATCTAAGATTATATAAGATTAGAATTAAGAAAAAAAGTGATTGTATTTCTTTTAGAGGGGTTAGTATATGGAATAACCTGAGTGATGATTTTAAAAAGTCTAATATTGTAGAAGCCTTGTAAAAAAGAGTACTGTAAATTCTGAACTATAAGCCATTTCTTTTTTCTCACACTTTGAACCCTGCGGCTAATAAATGATGTGGCTAATATATGGACGGATTCTTTGTTTAGGACATTGTCCATTCAGATATACGGTCTATGGTTTGTACTATATATGTACAATTTTACAATTGCTAAAATTTTGTTGATGCGGCTTATATTCAGGTGAGCTCAATAGTCGGGAAAATACAGTATAAAGTGTTATGTTTTGAAAGATATAGAGCTCTGGAATGAATGAATTATGCATTTGATTTTGTTTGTCTTAATTTGTATTTTGTCTCTATATATACAGTAAGTCGTAAGTGAAATTGTAAATGTTAACTTGCTGTTTATACGCTGCTTTTTCTTGGAATTTTGGAATTTTTTAATAAGGTTAGGCATTATAAGTACAGTACTTTTACTTCAGCCTAAACCCTTTGGGTCATGATCTATGGGATTGTAGTCTGTGTTTTGTTTTGTTTTATAGTGCTGCAAAATGACCGAATAAACTACTACTACTATTACTACTACTACTACTACTACTACTACTATTATTACTACTACTACTACTACTACTACTGTACCTGACTAACGTTTGGCTATAATCTTCCAGAGTATGACATTAAACTCATCTTTTTCCATGGAGAATGTTCCGAAATATAGTTTTAACTTTCTGTTTCCATTAAGTCATAAACTAAACCAGGGCCAAATGTCTAAACCAGCATTTCGAAGCCTTTTGATCTGCATTTTAAATCCAAAATCATGACCAAAACTGGGACAAAACTCAAATTTAAACTTGGTAAACTATAGCGTATGAGCATTTATACTTGTCCCACAGTTTGAGACTCCTGTCCTATTTCACCCTTGCACCTCGTCCTGCTCATGTAGGTTTGTGTGGAGAGAGCCTTTATTGCATTTTTCAGTAATCTTCACTTGGTTTTCTTGAGCTAATCTTCGCTCGCTCTAAATCTGCCCCTAAAGCTACTGGCATGTACTGTCCCATATTACTTTTCATACCTGCAAAATTATATTCAGGCAGTTTTTCTTGTCCAATTTTAGCTTCATAGCGTTTTCTCATTTCGTGAAAAAGTTGGTAAGTATTTTGTCTGGGTCTAGCACATCGATCACAAAAGCTGGGTTTGGCGGTAGAAGGTGGAAATAAGAGTTTTTTGATAGATTGATTTTTGTCGCGGCGCAGTTCTCGTTACCTGCCCACACTTCCTGTTCCATTTGTCTTTGTTAGTGCTGGACTCGTGTTCAGCTGTTTGTTAAAGTAGCCCCACTGGACAAATTTGTGGCATATTTTACTTCAGAAATATGAAATGAAATGCAGTTTGGCTAGAGTGGCAAATTTCTCTGTATAAAAGATTTGGTCCACATTTCTGGGTTTCAGACCCATCCCATGACTATCTCCTGTTATGGTGCCATTTTGAGGACTTTTAATTTATTTTTTTGTTTAATTTTTAATTGCAACATCTATATCCATTTTCCATTACTCTAAAACCCATGGCTTGTTGAAAGAAAGAAAAACACAATGAATTAATGAATATGCATCCACCTTTGGAATCAGAGTTGCATACATGAACAAGAATGGACTGGAAAATATGAAAAATATATACAGTATATTTCTATTGGACGGAGGTATCTACACACAAACAAGCAACCAAATGATTAGTAGTAATAGTAGTAGTAGTTTATTCAGTCATTTTGCAACACTACAAAACAAAACAAAACACTGACTACAAACTATTAAACCTATTAAAAAATGACAGTATTCCAAGAAAGAAAAGCAGCTTATGAACAGCAATTCAGGGATAGTAAACTATTAATTAATGTACATGTTAATCCAGATCACTTCCTGTCTCTCCTCTCCCTGTGTTTTTTCTCAGAGTCTGGTGCCACAGCCTTAGCAGAGGTTATAACATGGTGCTTTTGTTCCCAGCAGGTCTCCTTGGATTCAAACTCCTCCATGAACTCCAACACTCCTCTGGTCCGGATCGCCCGTCTCTCCTCCAGCGATGGGCCCATGCTCGCCCACGTGTCCGAGTTGGAGCTGCCCTCGGACCCCAAGTGGGAGTTTCCACGCACAAGGTACGGAGGGGTCTGCTATATTGTTAACTGTTGAAGATACAGATGATGATGGAATGTAGGATGTAGAGATTTCTCTTTAAAGAGCCCATGTTATGCTGTTTACTGATTTATGTTTTAATGCTGTTTCCTCATCCAAAATATACCTGGAGTTTTGTTTTGTTTCATTCACATATGTTTAACCCACAAGTCCTGGATATTTAGGAGTTCATTTCTCTTACTGTGTTTTTAAACTCCACACCCCTTCACTTGAATCATTTAGATGATTTCAGCCCTGGAATTGCCCATCTCTATTGAACTAAAGGTAAAAGGTAACTTGAAAACTACCACTACATGACATCACAAAGTGGAATATAGCATCTTCAGCATTGGAAGTGTAAACAGATAAATAATAAATGATTACTCCAACATGTGTGAATGAAACAAAACACAAATTCATGTATGTTTTTGATGAGGTAACAGCATTATAACACGGCTGAAATCATACAAGAATCAACATTTTGCAAAGTTCAGATGCTTTATTTATACCATTTATTTAATTTTACTGACGTTCATTGAAGGCCATGCTTAAAAGTCATTTAAATAGTCACTTATCCAGGGACTTCTTTCTTTTACTGAGTTGTTTTAGATCAGTATTACGATTTTAAATGACCAAAATCGAAGTCATGATCCACATGGGCCATATATACCCACATAGCAGACAAAAGCATAATCTTTTCTAAAGCTATACAAACTTGCACATTCACAAACACAACTCAAGGTATGTTTTTCATGAGGAGATGACGCAGCTAAAAGCTCAAATGAGTGAACTGAAGAAAATATCTCACCTTTAATGACCCCCACTCACAGGTTAATGTCTGTAGAAAATAGAGACACAGTTAAACCCTGTAGAATGTCTTTGGCTGCCAGGCAACAAGTCATCTCACACTGAATGCCCCGTTCTGTCCTTGTGCTATGAATAAAGTGAAGAAAACATGGACTTCAGAATCAGGGTCTCTCCATCGTTACTCATCTGTACAGCAGCTCATTTATATATTATGTGTTATATTAATTAACTAATACAGGACTAATATTGTGTATATGTTTGTGATTTCAGGCTGACGTTGGGTAAGCCGTTGGGAGAGGGCTGTTTTGGTCAGGTGGTCATGGCTGAGGCTGTGGGCATCGATAAAGAAAAACCAAACAAGCCCCTCACTGTTGCTGCCAAAATGTTGAAAGGTAAGTGCTCAAAACATAAATTTATTTTGACTTCAAAATAGTGTGTATTAAAAGATTAAAAATACTTATAATGCTAACTTTTTACTTATTTGTAGATGACGCGACAGATAAAGATTTGTCAGACCTGGTGTCAGAGATGGAAATGATGAAGATGATTGGAAAACACAAAAACATCATCAACCTGCTGGGAGCATGTACACAGGACGGTGAGTGGTGACCAGGAATATTTTCTCTGTAAACAAAAATGAACAAAATGAAAAAATACAGTATATACAAAAATACTGAACACTTCATAAACATTTTTTTTTATTTGAATTGTGAGATTTGGTTGCACATTAAAGGTCGTATTTTGCCTCCAGTCTTTGCACGAGCGGTGAAATCAGAAATATTTATATGACAATAAACATATTTCATAATTTGCAAACCCAATTGGGACCAAATGCACCTGTGAGACGAGAATGTGAGTGGTCAGCAGAAGCAGCAGTGGAAATTCGTACCTCAGGTGAGAGACAGGGACAGGCAAAGAGGACTGTCAGCACGGGACAGATGAGAGCGGGTGCGAACAGGGGGAGAGAGACCAGTGGGTCTCGGAGGTGGGACCAAGTCTTTATTTTGCAAGTCTCAAGTAAGTCTCAAGTCTTTGACCTCAAGTCCGAGTCAAGTCCCAAGTCAAATAAAGGCAAGTCCAAGGCGAGTCTCAAGTCACTGGTTCATAAGTCCAAGTCAAGTCCAAATCGTCTGCTTTGAGCTTCAAGTCATTTCAAGTCTTTAAACTAAAGTACCAAATATAGCTTAGCAACTTTTGCAATTTATATGACTTTTATGATAAACTGTACTTTTAAAAAAATCATAGAATATTTGTATATCAGTATTTATGAGTATATAAGAGTTGTAGAAATTAATTTAGTTAATTTTTCCTTTTTAAATGTCATGACAAGATCTTAGTAGAAAGAATTCAGATTTAAAAGTGCTTCTCAAGTCTTCTCAAGTCACAGGCCTCAAATCCACTTCAAGTCCTAATTCATTGACCTTCAAGTCCAAATCGAGTTCCAAATCTTACTCCACTTTATCAAGTCAAGTCTCAAGTCCTAAAAATAGAGACTCAAGTCTGACACGAGTCTAAGTTACGACTTTGAAGTCCCCACATCTGGTGGGTCTGATGTGGGATGGCGAGTGCACCAGTCTGCTGCGTAATGGGGGGCAAAAGAATGGAGGAATGCAGAGTAAAACTATAGTTGATGTGGGTGCGCATGCATGGACCTACAGGGATTCTGTGACGGCCCATCCAAAATTCTATAGTCCTGGCTCCTCTACTAGTGCATACTTACGTCGTGGGGCTCCGGAGCTATATATTTTTCTATTTTTTCCTCACACCCCTCTTTACTGCCTGGTAATGAGGCAAAGATTGCAGACATTACCTACGCTGGCAGTAATTTTAAATGCCACAGCGGTCACAGATTGGTTCAGAGGCCGTCACCATATACAATATGTACTTGTACCATCCCACTCCAGCCCCCAGCGACCACGTACAGTCCGACTTGGACACGCCCCCTCATTAACACTTTTGCTCGAGCAAAGACTGGTGGCAAGATCATATTATTATCACATACTTCTGCAGTCTATATAAAGTAACCTATATTGTATGCAGTGACAAATTTCAAATACTTAAATACAATTCACAAGATTACATTCACAAGATTTTCCTGGACAGTGGACACCAGGAAATCATGTGAGATCTTGTACCATGTGACCTTGTCCCACTCACAAACAGCACCATACCAAAAGCACACATACTTACGTATATTATTCACCTCCTTCCAGGTCCTCTGTACGTGCTGGTGGAGTATGCATCTAAAGGAAACCTCAGGGAGTACCTCAGAGCACGGAGACCTCCTGGGATGGACTACTCCTTTGACACGTGTAAAATCCCCGATGAGACGCTCACCTTTAAAGACCTGGTGTCCTGTGCGTACCAGGTGGCCCGAGGCATGGAGTATCTCGCCTCACAGAAGGTATGGACCAAATCATCGACACTTAAAGAGGGACAGGTTATGATTCTGACTAAGCCCTGATGAAGACTCGTCATGGTCGAAACAATTGAAATGTAGACCTTTTAAATATACTTGTCCTTGTGCGACTCTTACATTCTGGAGTGCCTGGATATCGTTTTTCCAAGAGTACCCTCTGCCTGTTCTCACTGATTGGAACACCGGCAGCAAATAGCTCTTATATAGCCAACCAACACATTACTCAATTGGACTGTTTAGTTTTAATAGAGACGAATAGAAAAAAATGCTTGTCGCTAAGACTAAGACAAACTTTATTGATCCACATGGGAAATTACTTGGTCAGTGACTCAATAGCACAACAAAGGCACTGTGAAAAACACTAAAGTCATTAAAACACACACAAATAGAGTTGTAATGAAATACAAAAGCAATATTTTGTTCATTATACAATAGCAAAAGGAAATTTAACTGTCAGCTGGACAAAAGTTTTCAAGTGAATACGTTTTGCCACTGTTCTGACTAGAAACTGAGGGACAGATCCATGATACAATATTTATGTACACATTAAAAAAAGATGTACATAGGAGAACTCAACCAAACAGAACATTAAAGATGTACTGTGTAACTTTTCTGGTGGAGGGTCTGCTACTTTCTTGTCTCTATGGAGATATTATTTATTGTTTTCTCTGGAATGACCCACAGCAGAGTATTCAACTTCTCTACTGTTCATAATGTACATAATTACAGGTGTTTTTATTGCTACACAGATCTAACGTATAACTTGTCTCCATGGAGATATTTGGTTTAAGGTAATGGGATAAGTAGGTAGCGTACCTTTCTTCAGAAATAGGGGTGTGCAAAAATACTGACATATCGATATATCGTACAGTTTAATGTGATGATACAGTATTGATATCGTGGGCTGCTGTATAAATATGTGTGCTACAGTTTTGTTGCTAGTTTAGAGGAAGAAAACTTGTTTATGCGACACATTTGACATTTTCACTGATTGATGATTAAACTGGGTGTTTTCACTTTGCATAAAAAGTGGTTTAACAAAGACTTTTAGTATCACAGCAATTTTTTATTGAACTGTATTGAATCAATTTGAAATATTTCTCATCGAATCAAAAGCGCACTGCATTGATATGTATCGTATCGTGGCTTATGTATTGAGGTATGTATCGTATCAGCAACTTCTTAATGATACACAGCCCTGTTCAGAAAAGTTATATAGTATATTATATAACACATAACACAAATCAAACTTTATGAACTTAAACTTAATGCTCTTGGAAGGAGAATTAATCCACGTAATGTTCTGCTTGGTTGTGTTCATGATGAGGTTACGTCGTAGTACACTGTCACTCACTGTTTATCCTGAATGTATAAATGATGCGTTTGACTTTACCCAAAGTTAAACTCCAGTGGGCCCGAGGTGGCTGGTGTTTTGCATGGTTTTGAACTGTTTTATTGATGCGTTCTCCTCCTCTCCCTCCAATTGCAGTGCATCCACAGAGACCTGGCAGCCCGAAATGTCCTTGTGACCGAGGACAATGTGATGAAGATCGCAGACTTCGGACTGGCCAGAGACGTGCACAACATCGACTACTACAAAAAGACCACCAACGTAAGCCCACCACAGTCACACACTAATTAATAAGTTGTTGTTTTTTCAAGTCTTATATTACACAAAATAGATTCTTGTGAGCTTTAAGGGATGTTATAATCAAAAACATACTAGAGTTGTGTTTTGTTTCATTCACACATGTTTTAGTAACCCTTTATTATTAGTCTGTCTATATCTCCAAAGCTCAAAATGCTCTGTTCCACCTTGTGATGTCAAGAAGTGGTAGTTTTTAAGTTAACTTACAGCTACCTTTTACCTTTAGTTCAGATGGAGAGTAGAGATTTGGCAATACCAGGGTTTAAATCTTCAAAATGATTCTAGTGAAGGTGTATGGTGTTTAAATACACAAGGTGGAACATGGGTGTTTTTTTCTTTTTGAGAGAAGAACTCAGCCTAAATGTGCAGGGTTTGTGTGTTAAACGTGTGAATGAAACAAAATGCAACTCCACATATGTTTTTGATGAGGAACATCTCAGATACCACACTGTACATCAGAAAGTATAATAATAATACACCCGCTTTAAAGATAGATCAGCACAGAGAAATTTTAAACCTTAACTTCTTTAAAGTAATCCTATATGATTCCTGTCTCTAAGAATGATAGGATTACCTTTTGACCCAAACATATGTAATCTAAAGAGGTCAGGTTGTTCATAGCGATTATACTTTACACCCTGTGATCAATCTCTACTAATCCATTTTCTTCTGTACTGCTGAACCTGATGTGTGTCATTATAGCTCATGTCGTGTATATTTAAAGGTGCACTGTGCAACTTTTCATACCTGTCTCCATGGAGATGTCACTGCTCTGCCTGGAAAATTCCACAGCATTACATTAAACAGATCTCTCTTACATTTATCCAATTACAGGTGGTTTTATAGCTCAAAAATAACTAAAAAAAACAAACATTCTGACTGTGAGCAGCATCGCCTCTCCACAGATCTGACCGGATCTGGTTTAGTCTCCATGAAGATAGAAAGGTTAAAGCCTTATTGTGAAACATTCCAGACAAAGCAACAACATGTCTACAGGGAAAAGCATCATCAGAAATGTTATTATCTGTATTTTGACGGTGCTGACGATGCATTCTGTTTTGTTGTTCCAGGGTCGTCTGCCTGTGAAATGGATGGCACCAGAGGCACTTTTTGACCGGGTCTATACTCACCAAAGCGACGTGTAAGTTTTCATAATGCAAAACCAGATCCAAATACCAGCTCTCTGCTCATGTATGCCTCTTTACAGTGCTGACATGCCATGACTGAGCAGGTTAGTGTCAAACTGCTGGTGTGAATGTAAAACTATGGACTTCTCCAGTATGAAAAATCTCTCCTAATCCCATAGATTCCTGTTTAAACGGGGACATTCCTCAGCGCGTTTGTTCTTTAAACTTCGGACTGAACTTCAGAGGGGCAGATACAATGTTGTTTTATCAGCTCAAAACCAAACTGTCAAAGAGATTATCAATAAGAGCTGAGAAGCTACTGGTTTCATTATAATGTAGAGGCGGTGGTGGAAGAAGGACTCCATTTTGTTACTCAAGTAAAAGTATCACATGAAATAATCTACAAGTTAAAGTCTTAAAATACCCATTTAAAATGTAGAAAATTTAGATCTAATAAAGCTTCATATGTATTGATTTTGATAAACATTTTTGCTGATTTTTGTTCAACAGAAACAGTTTAATTAACTTTTTTTTTTCCTAGCTGTTTTTCTAGTATTTTTCTTTGCTCAATCTACAAACCCGTTAAAAAAAAAAAAAACTCAGTTTCTGTCTCAGGTCTCAAACAATAATAAAAATACTTTTAATTTTCAGTCCAGTTCAAAAATGTAGTGGCGTAGAAAGTACAAATACCTGCTATCAAATGTAGTCAAGTAAAAGTAAAAATATTCATCTTAAAATCTACTTAAGTAAAATACAAATACCTATATATTTTTTTTTTACTTAAGTAGTGTATTTTACTACTTTTACTTTGTATATACGGTACTCTGCATATACTCCATACATTTTTTACATATAACTCAACTGCATTATTGTAATTGGATTGAAAAACTGTTAGACATTGCAGTTATTTCTCACCAAGTTACAACGAACTGCCCAGTGAAATTACTATAATTTATTATTCTTGTTAGCATGTTTGTGATTCATTATGGATAATAGTCTTTTATATGCAGTAAATTACCCTTTTTTCACACATACTGACAAACTGGAGTTCAATGATTTATCTGTTGCTTATATGTCTCGTCATTATTTCAATTTGTCCAAAGGAAAATGTAACAAAAGTTATAGCATACAACCTCTAGAAAAAGAGTTTTGTTTTGAAAAGAGCTCCTTCATCAATCTTGAGAAATACCTCAAAAAAATACTTTAAACTTGTTGAAATGCACGCTCCACTGCCGCCACTTTCCAAAACAATCAAGTCAAACACATCTTTTTAACCTCTTGCTTCTGTTTTGGCAGCGAGTTAACAGGTCAATATGTCTCTTATTAGCTGCCCTCGTCTCCCCTCTCTCTCTCTCTCCACTCTGCTCTCTTTTCTTTCCTCCCTCTCCCCTCTCTACCCTCTCTCTTTCCTCTCTCTCCTCCTCCCCTCCTTCCCTCTCTCCATCCTCCCTCTCCTCCCTCTTTCCTCCCTCTCCCTCCTCTCTCTTGCACTACTCCCCTCACTCCCTTCCCTCTCCCCTCTCTCTCTCTGCTCTCTCCCTCTCCTCTCTCTTCTCCCTCTTTCCTCCCTCTCCCCTCTCCTCTCCTCCTTCTCTCTCCTCCTCCCCTTTCTCCTCCTCCTCTCTTTCCTCTCTCACCTCCCCTCTCTTTCCTCCCTCTCCTCCCCTCTCTCTTCTCCTGCTTTCCTCCCTCTCCCCCTCTCCTTTCATCTCCTCTCCTCTCATTCTTCCCCCTCCTCCTTTTCCTCTCTCCTTCTGTCTCCTCTCATTGTTCCCTCTCCTCCTCCACTTTCCTCCTCTCACCTCTCATTCTTCCTCTCCTTCTCCTCCTCTCTCCTCCTCTTCTCTCTTCTCCTCTCCGTCTCTCTCTCCCGTTGCTCCAGACGTTGTCCCATGCGAGGGGTCCAACACAAACAGAGGGCCCTGTCAGCAGCAGTATGGCCCGATTAGAGCCCAGTCTGTTATTACAGCAGCTCTGGGTTAAAACGGCCTCCTCCTCCTCCTCCTCGTGCTACAGTAGTGCTTTACTCTCCAAACGCCGCGGGACACTTCACCTTTGACCCCTGTGCTTTATCAGGGAGCGAGACAGCTAATCTCGGCTCATAAGTGAACCCAAGAAAATTACTTCAAGTTAGCCAAAAGTTATAGCTTCATATGTTTGCTATCTTAGGTTTAGAGAGGTTGTGATGGTTTATAGCTCCCATATGTTTTATAAGCACGTGTTTAAAAAAGTACAGTTTACCTGCCATTTTATGACACCTGCAAAACCAAACTAATCCTGAATTAAAGCAGGACTAGAGCAGGAATTTAAATTTCAATCACGATTTAGTAAAACTTAACCAAATTTACTTCTCGTAACTTTTCAACCGTAAAATATACCAAAATAAAAGCGACATTTGTTTTCATTTTGGAAGTTTTTATGGCACTGAAACACATAAAAAGACATGTTTCCAATCGTGAGCAGACTTTAATCTCCACAAACCTGACTCTTATTTGGCGTCTTCCTGCTTGTTTCCATGCAAATGTTGTTCCTTTGGCTATAATATTCCACAATATGGCATAAAACCATGGAGAATGTTCTCAAGTATGGTTTAAACTTTCTGTTTCCATGGATTCATGCAGGCGACGTGCCATCTCCACAAAATTACATAATGTTGCTTTGACGTTTTTAGTCAGCATTTCAACAAACCTAAGCACTTAGATTTGTCATTTATTTAGTATTTACTCTGTAGTCTGACACCAGGGTGGTAAGCTCCTTAAGTTGCAATACACTTCTGTAGATATGTTTATAACTAGGCCTTCTGGGAAAATGCATTCAGTTATTGCTAAATTCAAATGAGTTTAAGTCTTCTAACCTGTAACATTAAGGCAGTGTTGACCTTCCCGTCTCTCCTCGCTCCTCTGTGCTCTGTTTGCTTCTAAATAAAGTCATGTTTAATTGTCTCCTGCTATTAGGCCTCTAATGGTCTGTGAATATTAAACCAGGCACACAACTTTGAATACAAAACACCTGCTGCTCCTGAACGCACCACGACCCTGAACGCACCACTTGGTTCATGTCATGCACAAGTCACGACACACAGATTGTCCCCAGATTTTTCATTCATGCATTTTTTCAATCCTCTTTGAAGCTTCTGTCTTCCCCTGTGCACTCTGTTAGTGATGGTACGGTGGCCTCATTGGGACAGTTTGTTTTTCCTGAACGGGAGCGTGGATAATTAGATTAAACTGTCAAAGTGCAGCAAAAGGAGGAAGGCCATTTTGGTTCAGTAGTTAAAAAAATGCACAGTGGGATTCACTTAAATTCATTAATTTAAAGCAAATTCATTCCGTAGTTGTCAAGAATGTTTTGGTAAAAAGAGAAACATTAAGTGATTTAAAAGTAATTGTGCATTTTCCTAAAGAGGGTTCACTGTGAAACTTTTCCTTAAAAGGGTCCACTACCTGCCAGTAGCCATGGAGATATTATTGCTTTCCCTGGAATATTTCACAGTATAGCACCTTATCTGTCTATTGTGTTGCTAAAAAAAAAAAATAGCTTGAAAAAGACACATTCGCATTATGAACTTGGTTACATCTCCACAGATCTGGCCTGTAACCTGATAACATCCCCTGCTTTTCTTCATGGCAAAAGATAATTTAATGCCATACTCTGGAACCTTTTAGGCAAGGCTTTAGAAACCAAACAAGAAGCATAACTCTGTCATAAAAGTTGCATAGTGCATCTTTAACTAATCAAACTGATCAAACAGCAGTGGTCGGAAGCCAACATTTAAAGCTGTTATTGCATTTGGCCGTATATGAGTTGGATATTTGTTACAGCTTGGGCAACAAAAGTCTGTATGATTGACTTTGCCTTGAGCTGGTTATAGATTTTTAAAAAAGCATTTATTGCACCGGAGATGTGCTCCTTTTATTCCTGTCTGGAGGAGAGGCCTGTTGGTTTAAATAATTATTGACCTTCCGTCCACAACAATAAGAGTCAAGTGAAGTCTTAAATTCACTGCACAAACATAGAGAATCAATACTACTCATCTTTCTCATTCAGCTGTGTTAAACAGCTCAAGGCTCTGTCTCGCCTGTAATGTGTTTCTGATATTGTATTTTTACATTGTATTTGTGCAGTTTGTAATAGGACTTTAAGTACTAAACTATATGCTAACTATTCTGGTTCCTGGTTTTGTTTTATGGCTGTTTGTTCTTTTTTATTTAGATTTTAAGTTCAGTAAATAAGTAAATAGGAACTGACGCTCATTACTGCTTTGTACTGGTGCAAAATAATAATTTAATTTTTTCTTTTGGATCTGAAGTTTTTCTTATATTTGCTTTTTTCTGTGTGCAGGTGGTCGTATGGCGTGCTGCTCTGGGAGATCTTCACATTGGGAGGGTCTCCGTATCCCGGGATACCAGTGGAGGAGCTGTTCAAACTGCTGAAGGAGGGACACAGGATGGACAAACCAGCCAACTGCACACATGAACTGTAAGAGTGCATCACATATGAAAAAAAAGCGCATATGTATGGATGAGAAGTGTTGATTCACAAATTGCAATCTGTTTTATTTAGTTAAGTTTATACTGATCTTAGATATTGAGCAAAGACTGAGGACATTGTGTTTTCAACTTAAGGTTCAAGTTGACATTTAAACAAACCAGGTAAACTGTAAACATAACAGCATTGTAAGACATTCAGCACTGATCATAAGTATATAGTTTTGTTTCTATTTAAAGCAAGATCAACAACTAAGATTAAAATGTAGGTTTATAGGCTCATGTATCCAAAATATGTCTTGTGGTGCACTCCCATTTTAGTCCTGATATGGCCTTGGTTTGGTCCAGTTCTGGCAATTGTTTAGTCCTGACCTAATCCAGGTTTATAGTTTGTGGTGTAGTCCTGGTTTAGTCCCAATTCTGATGTGGTGAATGTTCAAATGTAAACTTTCCCTTAGTTTACACATATTTTCACCACTAGTTCCATGTGCAGATCAGAGCAACTACAGATTTAAAGTGTATTTAAAGTTTACTTAAATTGTTCATATGTATTTATGTGGGCTTAACATGTCCCTGTGTATTTAAAGTTTATTTAAAATGTACTTCCTCTGCCCGTGTGTGATAGGTACATGATCATGAGGGAATGCTGGCACGCCGTTCCATCCCAGAGGCCCACGTTCAGACAACTGGTGGAGGACCACGACCGGATCTTATCTATGACCTCCACAGATGTGAGTGCTCTGGACAGCTGCAGCCACTGAGACTGAGGAAACGGGAGGAAAACAGAGATTAGAAACAGCCCCGGCCATAGAGAGGCATATCAGAGCGGTTAAGAGGGGGCATTACAGTGTGGAACCAAGCCAAAGCAGCAGAACAAAGATAGACGCTATTTACTGAGATCAGAGAGGGGAGAGGAGCCAAATAGTGTACTTAAGTGAGAGAATGAGAATACTGTTACTTCGATAATTACTTAAGTAGAAGTACAAAGTAGTGGTCCAAGAGCAGTAACAGTAATATACAAGAGTAATTATAGTAGTAGAGTAGTATTTGATTGAAACGTTACCAGCAAGAAAGCATAAATCTGACTCGGATGGGGCTAATTCTTCACACGTTAATGTAATTGGAAGGACAGAACAAAAATAATGCACAAAATCTAGTACATGGGAGGATAAACCAAAAGGATAAAAAGCAATATCATCTAGGGCCGGGTATCATCAAGAAGTTGCCGATATGATACATACCTTGATACATAGGCCACAATACGATATAGTGTTTCCCGCAGCACTTTACAGTGAGCTTTCGATTCAATACGATTCGATATATTTCAAATCGATTAGATACAGTTCAGTAAAAATAAAGGCTAAATCATGGCTGTGATACTAAAATTTTTTGTTAAACCACTTCTTGTGCAAAATTCGTACGAAACACAAACATTTTAATTATCAAAACAATGAAAATGTCAAACATGTTGATTAAACAAGTTTCCTTCCTCTAAACAACCAACAAAACTGTACCGCTGTAGAAATAATTGAGTAAAATATACCAAAAAACACTCTTAGCAATATATCAATACAGCAGCCCACGATATCGATACTGTATAAGCACATTGAACGATACAATATATCAATATTTCAATCTTTTTGCACACCCTTAATCATATCTAAAAGAGCAGTGCAAGAACCTCTAATATTAATAGTGTCAACAACTGTTTTTGCCACGACAAATGACCAAAACCATTATTCATGTAAGAGTACAGTCACACTCTAAAAAGAAAATATGTGTCAAAATTAAAAACTGCTAGTAAATGTAACTGAATACTATTTATTTCTGTCGGATGGGAGAGTTATGGGCCTTTGCTGTTGTAGTTGTTTTAGCATTACAGATTCTTTTATAATATAGTACAATTCGAGCTCAAAATTAAGCAAGAAAGCAAACAGCAATGCAGGCTTTATTACTACTACTTCTATTATTAGAATACTAGTACAGTACCCTTCTGATTTCAAGGTCATTTTCCCCACTGAGGATAGACTACACATGTCAGAGAGTCATTGATCGCAAATACATCAAAGACTCTGGGTCCTGTGTTTTGATCAAGTGAATCCGTTTTTATTCCTGTCTAAAGTACAAAGCGGTGACCTGAAGATTTCCGCAAACGTGCTGTCACTGAAATGTCATGTACCTGTTTTGATCTTATTCTCAGTTTGATAAATGGCACCAAATCAAAGGCTGGACCTCAGTCTGGACAACACAAGGACAGGTTTAGTTCAGACGAGACACTGTGGGATCACTGACATTTAGATACAAATATTTAGTTTTATATTTTCGAGAAATTGCACAAAAACAGCAACAGCCAAGGAATTGTTTTAATATGTTTTGTTTAGTCATTTTTCTTCCTGAATCATCCTCATTAGTTATTCTCCCACCCACTAGCCAAACCTCTCACAACATTACAACATGTCATTACACTAACAATTTTAATGTAACTCATAAAAGCACCTTAAAAAACAGAACTGACTTGGAAAGGACTTTAGAAAATGGGTGCAGGTTTGGTCTGTTTGGTCTGCAGAACTCAGAAGTATATTTTAACATGAACATTAAGATGTTTTCATTGTTGAAAATTGGCAAAGTGGCATGTTTGAATCTTGTGTGTATAACTAAAGTGTGATTTGTTTAATTTATCACAAGTAAATATAGATCTGAGGGTGGAGATGGGGTAGGTGAAAACAGAAATTTGCAAACCCTCAAATGCAGGACAAGACAGGATGCCTCAGACATGCATGAATCAAAATGCAACTTTTTATTAACCATTATCTTCTTCTTTATCACAGGAGTATTTGGACCTGTCTGTCCCGTTCGAGCAGTATTCCCCCACCTGTCCCGACTCAAACTCCACCTGCTCTTCGGGGGATGACTCTGTTTTCGCCCATGACCCCCTCCCTGACGAGCCCTGTCTTCCCAAGCAGCTGTCTTCAAACGGGGCTATCCGGACTTAAAGCACGCCCCGTCTCACCCACCACCCGCCCCCTGTCACCCACCACCCACTCTACCAATCTCAGCTACAGACTCATGCAATACACCGTCTTAAACTCTGTGAAAACTCAGAGTTGTAGACTTCTTCCTCAACTTCGAGACTCCAGAAAACGTGAAGGATTATTTTGTTTTTGTCTTGAATAAAGTTATATATTTTTGTACATGGGCCAGTCTTTTGTTATACGGACAATCTGTGGGAGAAACCATTCCGTGCCTATTGGGATTAAACCTCCTCAGACTCAAAAAGTAAATGACGAACATTTAAAACGACGTAATGAAGGGCATTGGTCAGTCACCAGGAAGGAACTTGCAACAAACGCATTTGATGTTTGGTCGAAATGTTACCAGCAAGAAAAGATAAAACTGACTTGGATGGGACTAATTCTTCCGAAAACATTTTTCACACATTTTTCAAAGGATTATTATGTGAACATTTGAGTTTCTACGCCCACAACCCGAACAAGCTGTTTTTGTGATACATTCAGGGTCGCTCAGTCATAAGTACAAATGTTTGGAGGGTTTTTTAATGTATCTAAAAATGATTTATTGTAAATATACAAATGCAAATATGTATGATATATCCTCAGCTGTAAAAGACAAAAAACATTTTTAAATACTGTTTAGGACCGGAGCGTTGCAGTCTAGAAGACACTGTCGATGTGTAAAACATTTAATCATTTAAGAAAAGGTTTATTTGAATAATTAACATGTATATTTGTAAAGATATTTATAGAGTTAACATGTGGTTCCTAAGAAAAGTTTAGTCTAGGTTTTAGTACTGTACGCAGATTTTTATTTTGATTTTTGTAACTTATTTTATGGCAGAACTGCAACGTGATTTTCACACCTGGCAGGCTTCTCTGAGTTTGATCCATCTTAGATGTTTGGTTTGTTTACAAGTTTTTAAAGAGCGAATGTACGACAGACAGAAGACTATTGTACAAAGCGAGTGTGACTCGAGCCCCAGCAGAGACTCGTGGTTTTGTTGATGTTTGCGAAAGTGAAAAGCAACGATGAGCTCTTGCTGGGCAAGAAAAAGCAGCGCTTCACTCTATGTGCCAGAGAGGCCTTTCAGCACGACTGAAGTACTTAGAGACATTAGAGACATGGACCACTCCTCACTATAGGATGACCTTCTGAATAAAATCATAATGTTTTCAATCACAAAATACACCTATTTAAACTTCAATCTGGTGGTTTTAAATTATTAATGTGAATTTCATGCACCTAACTGGTCAATTACCATTGGCTGAAAGAAAGTAAACTTATGTTTGATTGATATGTCCTACTCTTTTATTCAGAAGGCCTGTTGTTGTAGCAGGAGGTTGTGGTGATGCTAAAGCTAAAGGAGCTGTTGTAGAACAGCTGCCCAGATGTTATCGCTGCTGTCTAGTATTAAAACTGAAATGAAGGAATGCTGTGTGGTCGCTGGCCCTCACAGCTTTTAATAAATATTTCTAAGCAGTATATTTGTATCAGTTTGTCTAAGGAAACTGTAGTAAAAAGTGCCAAATTTAGTCTTATTTTCGCTTGATTCGCTGCAGGCGGGTGCAGTGAAGGATCATGGGATTGCCAAACGGACATCTTTTTCTTTTTTCTTCCTGTTTCAACATCTGTCAGCTGACCCCAAACACAAAGCAGGGGTGAAATGTTTACACAGAGCCACATCGCTAAAGGGAGGGCGATTTCTAGTGTCATTGAAGGTTTAGACGCTCATTCACTCGCTGCTAAACGAATACACTTCACTGTGCAATGGCCTTTTTCAGTATTTTCTATGGTTTTCTGCCCTTGAATTTGATATAAAGATGGACACAGGGAATATTGACGTCAGCCAGATAGTAGCTATTCAATTATTGGCATATGTCAGTCATACATTAAGCAATAATGAGATGTTTTGGCTTAAATTTCTTAAATCGCCTGTGAATGAAAATGTTAACATTTATTGGCTTACTAGATGAAAACAATAGATAATTATTGTCATCTCTATATTTGGATAATATAAGCCCCATACTTGTCAAAAAACAGTAGGCATAGACAACAATGTTGCCTGCAAAACTGGAGCCAAACTTAAGATTGCGCTACAGAAAAATTACCTCATATTACACCTATGTCCATCTTTCTATTCAGTCTGGTCTTACCCTCTGTCTGTCCCAGTACTTATTATCCTCCCAACTTTTTGTGAGTACTTACACGTATTTATTTGCTTGGCTGTAAATGTTTTCTTTTAAAAATGCCAGTTTTTATTGTTAACAAAATAAAGGCCTTTGTACAGTAAACTATAACAGGAAATACAAAAGCTTGTCTTTTTTTCAATATATTTGGTTTTGGTCTACATCTGAAGTGCCTGGAGAGTTACATTTTATTTTGAATGTAAAATTTAAAAAAAAAAATGTAAAAAAAAATAATACAAATAAACATATAATTTACTTTACGAGAAAGAGAGGCACTTCAAATTGTTGATGATAATTTATTCTTCCGTGTTGAGTAAAAAGCTTTCCCTATGGTGAGAGTGTTTTATCCAACTGTATTTTACCATACGCTCACTTGTCTGAATGCTGAATTTTCCCATCAGGCCTTGCTGTATTTATCTGACTTTTCATGCTTTTATTTTGAAATCCTATAAGGCCTTTTCCTGTTTTCTTTGTCTCTGTTAGATCACTACTTCAAATGGAGGTGTAGCTTTTGGCAGTGATTAAACTCAAGTTGAAATGGACACCAAGCATTTTATATAATAAGACGTTTTTAACATGTTTTGTAACAGAACACAATCTGCTTCGAATAAAACTACAAGATGTTGAAAACTACAAATCCCATGAGTGATTATTATTGACTTTGAATCAACAGAAGACCGAGAGGAATTGTGGTTATGAGAATTATAGATAATAAATGTTAAAACAACTTTGCACAGATTTTGATAAGACATTCAAATGTACATAGTTAACTAGAAGTACTCTAAGTGACGACCTATGCCAAAATAATAATATAGTAAATCATTGCAAACTTTGAAAGCTCATGTTGCTAGTTTTGTAGCTACTATGCTAAAAATGCAACCTTTTTTCACATATATGATTCATCTATTGTCTGTTGTTTATGACTGAGTTCTAAACCTCTTGTGAGAATAACTCATGTGAAATAGACTATATAACCATTTCCTTATCATTCAAAAAGTCAACATGTACATTATCATTGAGTTTCGAGATAAAATTTAGCTAACAATTTAATTTTGTTTAGTATCTTTTAAATTTATCTTGTATTCACCACAGTAAAAACACATACTTTTTCCCACAAATTTATTTATCCTTTTTATTAGACTAAATGATTGGGATGTAAGAATATTCAAATCTCACAGTATGATATTTTCACGATATACATCTCACGGTATGGTATTTATTGCGATATTTTGTGGAGGCTAACAAAATTGTGAATAAGACTTAATTTAAAGAACTAAGATTAAAAAGTGCTTAGAACTGTTATTTTTTTTCATGTAGTTTGCACCAAAACTGAGCAAAGGATCATGGTCGATGTAGTTCCCTTTGTTTTTTTTAGCTATTGCTGCACCATAACAATGAAAGAAACTTCGAAATATTTTGATGGCCCACGATATTATTGAGAGACTTTTGACGATACGATATCAAGATATTTTGGTTATTGTTACACCCCTACTAAACGATAATAATAATAGCTTTCACTAAACATTGGCATTATATTTTTTCATATTTCATTTATTTTTCATATCATTTATACCTGAATACATTATTGCGGAATGAGTCACATCCCACCAGTACGAAAACACACTTCAGTCTCCTTGTGCCCGACACAGTTGCTGTCAAAAGGTTTTCAAATAAACATCTTACAATAGCAGCCAGTGTTGAGTTTTGTGTCTGTTTAGGGGGATTTCTGTTTGACAAACATGACCAAAATGCCACAGAGTGTGCAGCAGCGGGCCTTGTTTGAATCTTGTTTTTGAATGTTTTGTCTGAGAACTGATGGTTGGTACACAGACTGCAACATGAGACAGAGACAAGACAAACTGTGGTCCAAGTGACGCAGGAATCCTCTCCATTGAAAGTGAAGTAAGGAGTAAACTGCCAAAGACGTGTTTCTGTTATTGGTAAACACGCAAGTCCCGTGAGAAATGAGAGAGGGGTTTTCTGTCAAGGAGGTCAGAAGGTTGGTCTCCATGGTGATTGTTAAAGGTGCCCTCAGTGGCGACTTGTGGTATAATTTTTTAACTTTTTTTTTGGGTGGGGGGTGCATGGGCCAAAATTATAAATATATATGATAAATATATGTATTTTATATATAGGCTATATAGTATTATAACGAATGCCAGAAAACATTCAGTCATTTTGGCCACTATTGGCTGAACTATATCAATGTCACAATTTGTTAAATATTTAGGCTTGTGATTTATGTTTTATTAATCTGTTCAGGGTTCAGGCTTAGCAGTTTGTATGCAGAATAAGACTTAGTTTAGGATTTAGTTGGTTGTGGAGGAAATTATTATTTTATTTGATTTGAAGAGGCTATCATAGCATACTGACTGTTGCTGTGTAGTTAGTTTAGGTGCACAGACATTGTCCTGAAGGAAACAGATGTAAATCCAAAACTCAGCATCTGTCATAAAGAAGAGCCCTCCCTGTCCTGCAAAAATGTGTTTCTAAATGTGACTAATAATGTTTTAACTTATTATTATGATGTTAAATATTATCTTAATGATACTTAATGCTTGGTATGGTAGGGCTACCATACCAAAAAAAAAATATTTCAGTGTATGTGACTGACATGCCAGGCCAAAGTTATAAAATCAGCGTATTATATACGACAACCAAACTATCACATAGACTAAACTTGAATGCATCGTAGTCTGATATATTTTATAAGGGCCATGTGATATGAGATAAAGATATTATATAGATACTTACATTTTTTGACACAATATGTGAAGCAAAATTAAAACTTATACCAAGACCAAATAAAGGTGTACACAGTTGAAATTGTGAGTAAAATCTACCTTTTTTTAAAAAAAATATATTTATTCTTTTAGGATGAGCAACTGACAACTCTCTCACTCACTATCATCACTATCATTAGTTTTAAAATAACATTTTGGTGACTGATGCTACTTCATTTTGATATCACTGGTGATGAGGAATGCTAAATGGTTGTGTGTGTTTAGTATTCCCATATCCCCATGCACGTAAGAATTTTTTTTAGAATTTAAGGAGAAAGTTACCCTCTAGTCCAGTCTCAAACTCAATTGGAGGAGGGGCAGAAGTTATAAAATCAGTGTTGTGGTTGTGGGCCGCATATTATATAACATATATAATTTTTTATAGGCTACAATTGATCAGAATTATTATAATAATATGTTATAATCATAAAATATTAGGATACCATATTATTGTATATATAATACAAGACAGAGGCCCTCATGGGGTTAAGAAAATTATATGGTAGTTAATTAAAATAATATTTATGATTTATTACAGGCTTTTAAGCAGTGTTCTAAATCATAAAGCAGGGGTACTTAATTACAAACTCAGAAGGTTCACTTACCAAACTTACAGTGTTTCCAGAGTCCAAAAAAGTCATGGTGTATTTCCAAACTTAGAACTTCTAACAAAAAATAAATCCAAAAAATCCAAAAAGTAAATCCACATGGAACATTTGAACTATGCACAAAGTACTAAATACACTACTAGATACTACTACTAGATAGATAAATACTAAATACACCAGCTAGATGGCTACTTTGACAAATCTAATTCGTAAGAGGCTCTAGGCTTGTGTGTCAGTATCTGCTGCTTCCATTCCTCCGGTACCACTGTCACTGCGCATGTCTCCTGCAGTAAGAGCCGCTCTTCTGTCTGTATCATGTTCATCAATCGTATCATTACTTCTGTACCACTGAAAATTTAAAACGGTAATCAAGCAGCAGAAAGAAAGTTGGCGCCTTCAAGTTATTTAGTGAAGGCCCAGGAAAAAAATATTGAATGAATTTTTGTACTACTAATATATTTTTTTTATATTTTTTGTTCAGTGAGTATAAACACTACACTAGTAATACTTTCTAGATCATTGTTATAAACATGGACTAATATTTCTTGGGAAACAAAGGGTTAATATAATGGAATGGAAATTGACCAATCACAACTTTTCTTCCAATGGTATCTGGGTAAATCAGTGACTCCCTGCAGGCACTGGAACTAAAGAAACACCTGCAGGGCCTTCGATGTATGGATCTATTAAAATAACTAGATAGGTTGTTGCTGCTTGTAGTTGCCTCCAGTTGATGTAGTGACACTCACTGGAAAAAAAATCCTATGGGCTGAGACAGGATTTTACATATAAAAGGTATCAACTTGAAAACGACAACTACATGACATCACAAAGTGGAACAGAGCATTTTGAGGTCAGACAGTTGTAAATGAAATAAAACACAACTCCAATTATATTTTTAATGAGTTAACAGCATTATAACAGGGCTTAAAGCTCACAAGAGTTAATTTTGTGTAATAATGGACCCTCAATGTTAACTCAAAATTCAATGAGGTTAGTTTAAAAAAATAATAATAATAATCTGAAAATAAATATTACATTATTCATGGGTTTCCAGTTTGTCTTAAATACAATATTTTGAGGATTTTCCCACTGAAAAAATATAATATTTTGTTGTAAATGTTGTAAATCACTATGGCAACGATTCTCATTATGCTGAAACCCATACTGGACAGTTGCATGAACAGATTAGAGCTTAATTTTTGTAGTATAATGACTTTGTGGTAAGTATAGCATTCACCCGGAAACAAACAAGCTTTTCTTTAATGAACTGACAAAAAAGTCTTGAACAAAAAACATAATAATAATAATTTGGTCAAGACAGAGTGATAAAAAATAAATAAAATAAATAAAAGCTTGTGATAAAAACAGTCTAGGAAACATTCAGGCGCCATAGACATCAGCACAGACTGTAATGCTTTGCTTACAGAGCTCCACATTGTGTTTTTCATCAGTTTACAGTATTCTCATATAATTGCCCTAGGGTGACGTCTGTGAATCTACCAAACTGCCCCATCAGCCCCTTTGACCACTATCTACTGTAAACCTCTCTCACGTACCATCTTTTTACACTGGTGACTTGGGTGTCTTGCTCAAGGACACAGCAACAGCACGCTCCGGTCAACACTTCTAATCCACTGCTTATATCCGGACAAACAGCAGAGAAGCTAAGAAGATAAATATTTATTCCATCGTAGTATCCGAATATTATCTCATTAAACCACAGTATACAAATCCTCGTCATCAAGTGTTGCGTTCACTGTAACATGGTGAAATGGTTATTTGATGGTTGCTTTAATCATGGCAGAAATCATAAGCACTGAGAGCTGATTTCCACCAAAGATGACTTTAAAATGTTCAAACGAGTGTATAATTTCGTTCAGGATGTGGTGCGAGGAAAAGTAAACCGCCTTCGGTAAACTGTGTGTAATCAAAGTGAGATTTTGTGAACTAAAGGGAGAAATGCAGGAGCACGCATCTGTGAACAAGTCATCTTTTCACCAGCATATCACCTTAAGACCACCTTTAATACCACCTTAACAGCTCTTAATCAGCATTGGCACTGTCATATCTGCAAAGGACTAAGAAATGAGCTTACTGTAATAATAATAATATCATAATACATTTTTATTATGACTAAATGCAGTGACTGTGAACTATGGAAGTAAAACTGACCAAATAATTTTCTTTAATTGCATGGTAAACAGTAGTAAAGTTCACAGAGATCCTGAATCATGCTTCCTTGT